TCGCTATTAGGTATAATATTTGCAGAATATGTTATGCATAGTTTCGCTGGATAAATAGTTTTATTTTAAATTTTTAATATGTAGTGTACCGTATCCTAGATTTTTGAAAGTATTGATAGTTTGCAACACTCATCTTTAAAAAAAAGTAGAAGTAAATAATACAACTACATCCGGTTGCAGTAAACAAATCAAGCGTTGATAAAATTATTTTTTATATTTATAGCACAATATTGTATAGGTACTACGTATATATAAAAAAAGTTGTTTGATGTCTATTTTATTATATTTAAAAAAATAGTTTCCTTTTTAAAATGGCTATTTCAAAATTGCTTGAGTCAGCCGGCCGTAAAATCCTAGTACATTATATGTATCATTTTAACTATTTTTTTTTATAGGATAAGGGTGACAAACGAGCACACAGTCCACCTGATGGTAAGTGGTTGCTGCGGCCCATAGACATCTACATCTATCTATTACAAATCAAAATGTAGATGCGTTGTCACCCGTGAGGACTAAGATGGAATGCCTCATTTCCAGTAAAAAGGGCCTCCGGCCACCTGCACTCACCAAGCGAAACAAAGAGGTAAACCGCTACTTCACGCTGGTTTTCTGTGAGGTCGTGGTACCACCCCGGATCGAGCCGGCCCATCCGTGCGACAGCAAAAACTGCCGCGTGGCTCTACCACTGTTAAAATATATGGTATGAAATATTAAATATTTGCATATTATACTATCGTGTGTTGGTAATATAAGTGAATCCACTACTCCAATAAGTCATCCTTCCAAAATTACTAAAACATTGTTACATTTTTAAATTACAATGCAAATAAATTTTAGATACTTATAGTAACACATAATATACACATTAAGACGCTATTATGTGCACGTATTAAATAAACTATTGAAAAACAAACAAAAAAATTGAAAAAAGAAATCAACTTCTTTTTTATGTTAACGACACTTTTAGAAGACGCTTTCAAAAACATCACACCGCACGATTGGGTAAAAGTTGTCAATAAAACAAAAAGAGATATATTAACGGATTGCGACCGCGTTATCTACATAGAAAACGTAATAAATTCGCTATTTCTTACATCAGCCTCGGAATCAGACGACGATTCAGACATATCTGACTCTGATATTAGTTTAGGTTGTAAACCTCATTTTTTTATAGGATCACGGTGACAAACGAGCTCACAGTCCACATCTATCCTCGATGACGAATTAAAATGCAGATGCGTTGTCTTCCGTGAGGACTAGTATGGAATGCCTCGTTTATGAGCGCTCCAAGTCAGATTGCAGTCAAAAATAACGCCTAGGTTCTTGGCAGTATCTAAGTAGGGAATAGTGGTACCATCAATTCGTAGAGTTTGGAGAGAGGAGAAATCAAGCAAGCCACGCGCATATCTTTTGCCTATTATTAAGGCTTGGGATTTATTTGGGTTTATTATGAGACCAAAAGATCTTGACCATTCACTAATCTTATTTAAGTCATCATTCATAACTTCAATCGCCAAGTTAGCTTCAGATGCCACAAAATTACGATATAACTGCAAATCGTCAGCATAGAGGTGGTAATTAGATAATATGACCTTAGTGATACAATTAATAAATACGACAAAAAGCAGAAGAGATAGGACTCCATCTTGGACTCTTTAATACTTGTATCGATTCTGGTGTGTTTCCTGATTTAATGAAGTATAGTAAAGTAATACCTTTATTTAAATCTGGTAGTACATTGGACCCCGCTAATTATAGACCTATTTCTGTACTACCAACTCTCAGTAAAATTTTTGAAAAAATAATTTTGGATCAATTGTTAATTTTTTTTAATACAAATAAATTACTTCATAAAAATCAATTTGGTTTTACAAGGGGTCGCTCGACGTCTGACGCCGGTGTTGAGCTTATGAAATATATTTTTAATGCCTGGGAGAATTCACAAGATGCCTTAGGTATTTTCTGTGACCTTTCCAAGGCTTTCGATTGTGTTCATCATGATACATTAATCAGGAAACTACAACATTACGGTGTAAAAAATTTGGCGCTTAAACTTATTACTTCATATTTAAGTAACAGAACTCAAAAAGTCGTCATTAATGGTAAATGTTCCTCCGGATCAGTAGTATCAATGGGCGTTCCTCAGGGCTCGATTCTTGGCCCATTCCTGTTCTTAATCTATATTAATGACTTACCTTATCTTGTAGGGGACAATCACGATATAGTATTATTTGCTGACGATACCTCTTTAATTTTCAAACTGAAACGGCAGTCAATTAAATATGACGATGTAAATAATGCTCTATCGAAACTAGTACATTGGTTTAACGCCAACAATTTGCTCTTAAACGGCAATAAGACAAAATGTATTAAATTTACAATACCTAATGTAAAACATTCGAAAACCAATGTGCTCTTAAATGGGGAGGAGTTGAGTCTTGTGGATACCACTGTTTTTCTCGGTATTACTATTGACGCAAAACTTCAATGGGGCCCCCATATATCTAAATTAGCAAGCAGACTTAGTTCTGCAGCATATGCTGTAAGAAAGATTAGAAGTCTCACAGATGTTGAGACAGCTAGGTTAGTGTATTTTAGTTACTTTCATAGCGTAATGTCTTATGGAATTTTGCTATGGGGTAATGCGACTGATATTGAAGCTATATTTGTTTTGCAAAAGAGAGCCATACGGGCGATTTATAATCTAAATTGTAAAGAGTCCCTTAGAGAAAAATTTAAAGAAATAAAGATATTAACTTTGGCATCGCAATATATTTATGAAAATGTAATCTATGTACATAAAAACATAAATAGCTTTAATAAGAATAAGGATGTTCATACCTTAAACACTAGGAACAAACATAAGCTTGTAATGCCACTTACAAGACTCCACAGAATTAGTAATTCATTTATGGGGCAATGTATACGCTTTTACAACAGAATCCCAGAACATGTTCAAAGTTTGTCAATAAACAAGTTTAAAAGTTTTATTAAAGAAAAACTGTACAAAAAGGGTTATTATAATATCAAGGAATACATGAATGAAAATAACCCCTGGGAATAAGGTGATCGCTACCATGCTGGTTCTATGAAAATTCATTTAAAATTGTATAAACAAAATTATTGTTAAGTGAAATTATGTTTAAAAAAAAAAGTCCCGCTGGGTTTCTTGCTGGTTCTTCCCAGGACAGAGGTATTTTCCGAACCAGTGGTAAATAAAATAATGACTTTCAATAAGTATTATGTAATAATCCATATTGAATAAAAATCATTCTATTCTATTCTATTCTATTCTTGAGGTACACCCGCAGTTACATTATACCATTGGGAGTATATTTTCACCTGAACGAACAAATTGAGAACGATCTCGAAGATAGGAGTCAAACTATAGAATAACAGATCCAGATACGTTAACTGACTTAAGGATACTTATAAGGATATCAAAATCGACAGAATTAAACGCACTCCTGAAATCTAGTAGAACAACAACTGTTAAAAATCCATGGTCCATATTCCAACAAATATCGTCAGTAACTTTAAGAAGGGCAGTTATTGTACTTTGAGCAGGTCGGAAACCAGATTGATATGGATCTAAAATATTGTTACTGTTGAGAAAGGCTGAGAATTGCTTGTGGACAATGTGTTCAAGAACTTTAGAAAGAAATGGCAAGATTGAAATAGGACGACAGTGAGAGGGAGATGAAGGATTAGATATCTTAGGGATAGGGATAATGTGAGCTAATTTCCATGACGGCGGAAAACAACAAGAAGATAAAGAGAAATTAAAAATGTGAGTAAGAACAGGTAGAAGAAAAGAGAGGATAGGCATTATCATATTAGAGCATATGCAGTCATTTCCAGCAGCCGTAGATGATATAGCTAAAATTGATCGGTTAGTATCGTCTTCAGTGACTAAAGAAAAACCAAAAGTGGCACACTGCAGAGCTGGGTGCTTAGCCAATTGTAACATTCACCAAGCTTTATCACGTGCAGAGATAGAAATAGGCGGGCAAGAAAAATTTTGGTTGATATACTTATATTTTATACACTTACATGTTAATTGTTAACTGTAACTTATAGCCAATTTCTACTAAGTAGTGTACTGCTAATTATTATGTACGCACGCTACTACCTACTTGCTTTATACATATATAAAACTGTTTCTCTTTCCCATAAGGTTTGCTAGAAGATTTATACGTGGTAGAGCCATGCTGCAGCTATATTAATAGTATAGTTGTAGCACGAATGGGTCGGCTCGACCGGGGAAGGACCACGCTCTCACAGAATACCAGCGTAAAATAGCAGCTTAATGCTGCTGTGTTTCATATGGTGAGTGTAGAGAACTGGAGACCCATTTTTCTGGAAAAGAGGCATTCTATCTTAGTCGTCACGGCTCACAATGATTCTGCATTTTAATTCGCAAACGAAGAATAAAAAGAAACGAAAGTTGTAGATGTCTATGAGCCACAGCAACCACTTACGATCAGATGGACTATGTCCTCGTTTGTCACCCTTATTCTATAAAAAAAAAAACTCTGATTAGGGTTAAGCTCGCCTTTGTACATCTTATTTGAATTTAATAATTTTTATCAACTTACAGTGTGCACAATGAAGGATAAAGAATAAATAATAATTTATAAGTATTATAGTACCTTGATTCCAAAATCGTTAAAACTAATCAAAAAATTATCGCTGTGCTAACTCATATAAGCTGTATCGAATATTAAAATGATCTTTGTAGCATCAATGTTTGATATTAGAACATTCTTGCGGGGCATGTCGCGCGCACGCTGTAGCCGTCAGTCTCCGCGTAGACGTGCTGCCATCGCCTGCCTGCTACGCCGGTGGAGTGTTCGCTACGAAATCACTACGTAGCCAAGTAAAATGCTTCAACTAAGTATTTAACTTTTTAAATCACCGATTAAAAAATACGCAAGCTAGATGATTGCGTCAGTGAAACAATTCTAATTTTAATCGTTACTGTAAAAATTTTAATAATAATGTTTAGAAATCGGAGTGTCGTAGTGAATATTTCTATATTTCTTCTTACTCTACAAGGTTTGTAAAAATTTTAAATGTTATTTTTTCACTCTGTATGTAATTAAAATAAATTATTAAAATAAAATAATAAATTACTACCTATAATCATGTCGTATATAAATAATACTGTCCAAATAAAATAAATTTAAATATGTATCTAGACGGTTCTATAGAGATTTAATGCAATTAAAGTATTTAAAATATTGCTTTCATTACTTTTATATTTTTGAAAGAATTTATTTATATACGATATACTTTAGTGTTTTTGTTACAAAATGAATTAAACGATCAACTGTAGGTTATGACTTTATACGGTGGTTTATCAGATTTACGATTGCTTGAGTTACCCGGACCCTTTTCCTATCCAGAAGTCTGTCCGGGTAGGTATCGACTTCTTATCTATTACGCCTTATCCATTGCTGACATTCCTACAACAGTGCACCTGTAGATGCAGGTGAACTTTAAGTTATTTTATTACCTCAATTTTATATAAAAATAATTATTAAGGAAATCAACTCAAATTGTCATTCAGTCTGGTTGAAATTTATATGGGCAACTGTGGAAACTATGTCAGATATAATCGTAATATCGTGTTACATAAATCAAAACTATAGTCGTTATGATAAGTTTAGCTAAAAAAGTTGTAATTTTTTGGTCTATAACAAATATTTGGTATATTTGCAACATTTTTGCATATGAAATTCAATTTACACGTTAGGTAATTAGTTATTAATTAATAGGCTAAAGAGGTGTTATCTCGTTTTTTATTTATAAATGATGTATGGAGTATAACATGTCAAATTTTTCATCGAATGTTAACCACATTTGCAATCTGCGTACGTTTTACTAAGTGGTAGTATTACTCCTTTTCTGCCTAAGAAACCATTTGGTTTAGTACAAACGGCTTACCTATTTCTTTGGTCAAACAACAGTGCATGCATTTGGCCGTTAAGTACTCCATATTAGTCTTACTCTTTGTATGAAATTGGTTGCATTGGTTTTAGTGACCACTTACTATCAAGTAGACTGGGTAATTCTTTTGTAACTTTAATTTTATAAAAAAAAAACCATTCCATATTATAAACGGGGCTCTGATTACCGACAAATGGTATTTTTAATAGGATAGACTGACAAACGAACACACAGTCCACCTGATGGTAAGTGGTTGCTGTGACCCCATAGACATCTACATCTATCTTCGATTATGAATCAAAATGCAGATGCGTTGTCACCCGTGAGGACAAAGATGGAATGCCCCATTTTCAGTAAAATGGGTCTCCGGTTCTCTAAACTCACCATACGAAACACAGCAGTCTCAAGCTGCTATTTTAGGCTGGTATTCTATGAGAGCTGAATGTCCTACCCTGGTCGAGCCGACCCATTCGTGCTACAACTATATTATGTACTAATATAACTGCAGCATGGCTCTACCACGTACAAAAAATGGTGTAAAACCGATGAAAAATTCCAAATTCAAATTTAACTGACTAGATGCAGCATTAAATTGTGAGTGTTTCCAATATGGGCAAAAATTTCAAGGAATGTATACCCATACTCATGTGGTGTACAGTACACACAGTACATGTACAGTAGTGACCTTATTTTTTTATTGAATGAGGATGACAAACGAGCACACAGCCCACCTAATGATAAGTAGATGTTGTGGCTCATAGGTATCTACATTTATCCTCGTTTAAGAATCAAATTACAGATGCGTTTTCACCCCTGAGGTCTAAGATTAAATTCCTCGTATCCATTAAAAAGGGTCTTCGGTTCTCTACACTCACCATACAAAACACATCAAAATGAAGCTGCTATTTTTCGCTGGCATTCTGTGAGAGTGTGGTCGTTTCCCGGTCGATCCAACCCATTCGCGCTACAACCATAATATAGCTGCAGCGTGACTCTACGCCGTACACAATATTGATGGTTTATTGATTTTATGAGTTTTTGTTCTAAGAGTACGAATAGCGGATTTAATGTTATATTATATTCGCCGAAATTGAAATGAGTTTTTTCTTCTTTATCAATTGGCGGTCGGTTCTTCGAGCTATATAACCGGCCAATTGCCACTTCAGCTTTCTAATCCATTGAGCTTTATCGCTTACTATAGTTCTACTGCGAATATCCTCATGCCTAAGTATATCATGCAGAGAAACCCCGGATATAGCCCTCCCCATAGCTTGCTGTGCGATCTTGAGCTTCTTCATACTTTCAGCAGAGAAGGCCCACGTCTTAGATACATGAGTCATCACTAGCAACACACACTGGTTATACAATCTTGTTTTCAAGTTTTAGGGCATATCTGCCGAGTTAAATACGTCGATTGACCTCTCGGTCGAAGTTGGACTTACCTAGTCGGACTATTTGGCCCAAGTAAACATACTAGTCAACAACTTTGAGCTTAGTGTTCCCAACAACTACATGGGTTGTACACTGGCATGGGTGTGACATGAACGTTACACACAATCAATTTTGTCCATGTCCAATCTTAATATCTATCTGTTGGGAGGCACTATTAAAGTCATTAAGCATAGTGCTTAGATTCACGACTATTTTCAGTTGGACTTGAATTTTTTAACAGTGGTAGAGCCACGCGGCAGCCTTTGCTGTCGCACGGATGGGCCGGCTCGAACCGGGGTGGTACCACGACCTCACAGAAAACCAGCGTGAAGTAGAGGTTTACCTCTGCGTTTCGCTTGGTGAGTGCAGGTGGCCGGAGGCCCTTTTTACTGGAAATGAGGCATACCATCTTAGTCCTCACGGGTGACAACGCATCTGCATTTTGATTTGTAATAGAGGATAGATGTAGATGTCTATGGGCCGCAGCAACCACTTACCATCAGGTGGACTGTGTACTCGTTTGTCACCCTTATCCTATAAAAAAAGAATAATAGACTATATGATGCTCTTGTTCTCTCGAAATTAATCCACTGCATTACAGTGTATGGACCCTGTATTAAGTAAAAGTCACAACGTCTAATACTACGTATTCAAAATGCGTGTCCACACACCTGTTTCTCAATACCAAACCGGTCCCATGTAACACCTTTTGTCAATGAAGCATTTTAAAATTGAAAGTGTCACAAAACTTATATATGAAAATGAAGTCACTCCAATATTTATATAAGAAAAAAACTTATATGGAGAAAACTCTCTTTCACCAACGCATTTTTTCATAATTTTAATATATACACATAAATACTGACAGGGACAGGGATGTTTTGTGTAAAGTTCTTAAACACAAAAATTACTGGGGGGTTTTAAAATCTTTTGAAAAAAATATTATTTTGTTGGCCTTTTTGAATAAGTCCAAATCTGATAAAATATATTAAAAACAAACGAATTGCGCGGCGTAACTTTAGCGAAGTAAGATAATTTTTGGTGTCAAATTAAAGTTTTAAAACAAGTCAGCCGTTAATTTCTAATTTATGCCACTGTATGCATCATGATGCGGCGTCATTTACCGACAGTGGAAATGTTAAGGGCAATAGGCATGCTCCAAGCTGGGGCTACTCAACGGATTATTGCTGAGGAGATTGGAACAACACAGAACGTGATATCAAGGTTATGGTCACGTTATCTTGCTACTGGTGAAGTGGCTGAAAAACACCCAGGCGGGAAGCGCATAACCATTTAATGACAAGACCGATTTTTGCAAGTTGCCGTGAGAAGGCAACCAAATTTTTACGTGGTAGAGCCATGCTGCAGCTATATTACTGGTATACTTGTTGCACGAATGGTTTGGCTCGACCGGGGAAGGACAGCGCTCTCACAGAATACCAGCGTAAAATAGCAGCATAACGCTGCTGTGTTTCGTATGGTGAGTGTAGAGAAGCGGAGATCATGTTTTACTGGAAACGAGGCATTCCACCTTTGTCCTCACGGGTGACAACGCATCTGAAATTTGATTCGTAATCGAGGATAGATGTATTCAAAGGCTCCATTCAGAGCACCAGTTGCTTGTGAATGAGAAAAACTGTGAGGAGAAGACTGTGTAAAGCAAACCTTCATGCTCGTAGACCGCTTCGTACTCCATCACTACGCTGAAGAAATCGGCTCTGGGAAGATAACCAGTGGTCTGTAGTGCTGTTTACTGATGAGTTCCGATTCGACTTCTTAAATTGAGAAAATCCGAAATATCCCCAGACGATATATATAAAAGTAGGGACCCACTACTGGACACAGGCCTCCTCTTATTTCTGAGAGGTTTTAAGGGCAGGGAAATATCCCAAACGCTGCCCCAATGCGTGTTGGCGAACTTCAAATGTCTTCGAAATATTTATTTTTTCCTATTCTTCAGACATGTAATTGTCCTTCACCACTTATATATAAATGTATATGTACTAAATAATAAGGTAAACTTTTGCTTGCAGGTGAAATAATGAAAGAAACCACTCTTCACTAAATGATTACTTTATTCGTACTGAGGTGACACATTATGATATCTGTTGCCGCGCAAACAACTACAGCGAGATACATTGTTTTATATCAGCTAGCAAAAATATCAAATATGAAATAAACATAGCGTCCCCTAAAAACCGCAGTTTATAATTAAGTGCTCAAAAAAGACAAAAATTCTGTTTGAAGAAACATGATAGAAGTGAGAATAAATACGCATTATTAATAACTACATACACATAATATTTGCATATCTTGTTCATAAAACGGATTTAAAAGTAGTAATAAACTCAACAGTTTTACTACACAACGAGGTTAACCTCGTTGTCTCAGGTTTTAAAAATAGTTAAGAAAATTTTAAAATTATTAATGAAATTTTAAACCTAAGACTATAAATAAACCACGGCTTGTAATAAGACAGCAAAGATATTTCTAAATGTACGTCATCAACACTTTCTTACGGTGTTGAAAAAATACGCCCAATATTTTCCTTGTGTAAAAATTAAGAAATGTAAATATAATACGCGTGCGTCCTTCCTACCCTAAAAATCTTTTTTCATTTTCATTTTGACCGCATCGTTGGTCTAGTGTTCGTCAACGCGACTTCCGATCTATGG